CATCAGAGAAGAGTGGGGAGCAGGACAGGCAGATGGACGTTAGGGTGATGGAAGGTTGTATACTATCCACTGATGACAGTACGTGTGTATGTAACTGTCAGAACTCACAGAAGTATATATTTACCACTTACGCATTTCATGCAAAATATACTCCAGTTTTTTAAGATGCGCATCTAGCCAATTAAGCCACGAACTTGCTGCATCTTACTGCTGGTCCCAGTCGAGGGTATGCTGTCCATCAGCTCAGCCCTTCACACCTATTTAAGACTGGAACCAAACATAAATATCCTTCTGTCCCCTCCCGATAAGGGTTTCCAGCAGCCTGAGTGTTTAGTGCTTTGGGTGTATGGATGGTTCTTGGAAGCCTGGGCATCGCCATCAGGAGTCCCAGCAGCTCTGACCATAATGTTTGACAGCCCAGAAGTCACGGTCAGTATTAATGCTACCTCTGATCTGGTTGCAGGCTTCATGGGAAACTGTGTGAGACTCAGTTCAGCAACCCAATTTAAGAGCATAATCCTGACTCTCCATTTCCCTGATGAGACACTCAAGTTTCTATGGCCTCACTATTACCCTCATGCTTTAAATAAAGAGTGGTCCTTCCCTGTGTCAATGCCATCGGTAGAGTATGACAGAGAGGTGTCCATCACCATTAGAGGGACGGTCTGACAAATCTGCAGAGAGGCAACTGTCCCACTGGGCAGGCAGCCTTAGAAGAAAGTGTCTTAGTGTACTAGGATATGGTGTTCTTCACCGGTGCCCCAACCCCTCACTGTGGTGGGTACCTAGACCTCCCTATACCCTAAGCAGATGTCCCTGGCCAGCAAAGATACTCTTCCCCATATTTATCTTCCTCAATAACTGCTCTATATAAAAGAATGAATTATGTTCTTTCCTAACATTACACGTTTATTTAATAGCTCTGACGTTTCATATGCTTAAAGAGAAGATGACACTGTCTCCTTAAACCTAGGTTTAGGATTGCTCGCTGGCATCAAGAGCACAGTCCTACAGACACACCTTTTTAAGATCTGATGCTCCAAACATATGAACGTTCCTATTAAGCAGGAAAATAGGTCATTTCATGTATTGAGTTTCTATGTAACATTAATATAAGTTGTCTACATAAAACTGAGAAGTTGAGCAGGAATTTCTTTTTATTATTGAAAGAGATAAACTCAAGACTTTAACTTGAGTTGTTCTCTGCAACTCTAACCATAAGTATTATATCTGAGTAGATACAGTTTTTACGGGGTCATAAATCTTCAATTCCACTTGTTAAGCTCCTAAAGAAAAATCTATCACTTTAGCACAATAAATTTAGAAACAAATGGATTGGGAATCAGTAGAACTAGGTTTGCTTAAGGTTCCGCCATACCTGCATGACTTTTGACAAATCATTTAACCTCTCCAAGTTGAGTTCTGGCCTGCAGACCCTCTTCCGAGCTTTAACAGGACAAGCATGCAATTAGGAGAGCGGCCCTTAGATGGTGCTGTCGTTCTGAGTTAGGCTTTGTATTTTCCCTCTATAATCACAGCGAAGTAAAAAGGTATAGGTTAGAAAATAATTTCCTAATGCTTCTGAAAAAAATTCAGTTAAAAAGAGTTCATTCAGTGGCATTCAAAGTGGCATTTAATTATGAATCATATGGTCCACATGCATCTGACATTAATTAGAAGGAATAGACCATTATGATTATACCAAAATGAACACACCCCCTTATAATTAGTCCTTCTACATCGTTTTTTTCTCTAGATAGGTATATGTAAGTTAAATAAAATGAACAAAAACTAAATAATAACTGTTAAAAGAGTACTGATGTATAACAAAATGATTTTTTTCTAAATGCCAGTTCTAACAGATTTTGGTATTTATTATGATTATCATTACTGTTATTCATTATAAATGTATAAATGTTTCAGACTATCTTCACACCCTGTATTTCCATGAGCATAATGAGAGAGATTATTACATCATTTCTCCAACCACAAACAAGGATTCCCTTTTAAAGCATTCTGCTGGTTTTAGGGTCAAAAAGGATATGGCTAATGTATTAAATGACTTCTCTAATTTTTTAAAAATTTATTTATTCATACAGAACTGGGGTGCAGGCCAAAGGCACAGGTGCGGTGAGAGGATTCACCAGAGAAGAGTGGGGAGCAGGACAGGCAGATGGACGAAGTCCACTGCTGAGGGGAGCAGCGGCGGGTCAGGTGATGTCTGCTGCACCATGTGGGTCACCACTGGAGCGGGGATCAAACTTTAGCTTCTTAGGGCTACACTTTAACCCGCTGAGCCACCAGGGAGGGCCCCGACTACTTCTCTAGTTTTAACCCAACAAAGAAAAAGGATTTATATTCTAATTTGAGGAGGCTTAGAATAAAAATTTCAGGTTTTCACCTAAAATTCCTGAAAGGAGAAAGGATACATCACTTTCCCTCCCTATGAAATTCAGAGTTTAAAAATTATGTTCAATCAATACACAGAATGAGAAAGTGCCAATGAGAACTCACACCAAGCTGCTGCTACAGTGTTGAACAGTTGAACAGGAAGTAAAAGGGCAGTCAAAAATCTAGTGCAGTGGCATGAAAAGGATGAATTGTTTCAATATACATTTTTGTCTACAAATTAAAGAAGCAAGACATTGATCCTGGTGAGTCTAAGGTAGTATTGCTACCTGTGAGTTATCTACCATCTGTCTGCCCTTCCACCCACCCACTCATCCAGCCAGCCAGAGGAGCAGCCAGTCTCTACTGTGTGTGTATCTGTTGCAAAGGACTACAGATGGAAAATCTCTATTCTCAAAAAACCCAGTCTGGTAAAAGGACTTAAAAGTTCAATTCAATTTATTATAGTGTCAAGTAGATTTACAACTATTGCACTTGTCATTCTGCTGACAGGTCAAATTTTAATGGGATCTTTTCCTCCAATAAAGCTAATCAATCTTCAATCTAAGATGTTAAAATCACACAAAGAAGTATACACCTCACGTCCTATTGCCGACATCTCTGCCCTCTGTAGTACAGCTCGCCGCAAATGGGAATTTGGTTGAAAAAACGCTTCAAGTCATCCATTTTTCATGAAATCACTCGGGTAGCATTTACTGAGAACTTGCTTTATTTTGTCTTCTTTACTCAAAACGTGGAAGAAACGGTTCCTGTACTGCAAAATCGAGTGTAACCATGTGACAGGGAGATGAGCATCAGGGAAGACGCCGTGACGCTGCTTTCCCGGCAGGTCCCTGTGAGCGCCGTCCTCACCTCAGGCTTGGCTGCTGGCTGCCTAAGACTTCTGGACAATGGAAAATAGTAACAAAAGCTTCTAAAACTTTTCTCAAAGACAGAAGTTGTGGGCATTGCTGGGAACGCGGTTTACCTCGCCAGTGAAAATCTATGCCATCGATCTGTGTGGAAGATTGTCTTCAACCGACTTGGCTGTCGCCCATAAAGTGTAATTGATTGAGTCACGTCAAGAACCACTATTTGTCTCAAGCCTGGAATGCTCGACAGTAGAAAGTAGGAAAGTGGATTTTTATTTACTGGAATAATTATGCGAGGGTGGGCTGAGCGAAGAGGAATAAACCCCAGAAACCATCAGCCTTCAGTCCTCTTACGTCAGCCTGCCCTGTGCTCGCGCTGGGAAGAGCCCCGCCACAGGGGTTCCGCGCAAGTTTTCTACCTCAACAGTAGCTCCGTAATTTGAGATGCATGTGATTTCTAATGCGCCACTACTACAAGACACAGCTTTTATATATTACTGGGGTAATGCAAAGAAAATTAATTTCTTCGGGTACCAGTAATTGTCCAAAGAGTGATTGCATATTCAGAAAATGTACTTTATAATAACCCTGTTAACATAAAGTATACATGGGGGGGGGTAAGTACAGCAGGCATGTGGAAGAGTTAGTTGTATTAGCAAGATATTTCAGGATGATTTTGGCTCTTTTGATTAAGATACATCCCATTTCAACCCCATTCCAATTCTTGGGGAAACACTGACTCGGGGAGCAGTTTGCGCGAATTCACCCCGTGCCCACAGCTTCCACCTGGGCGGCGCACCACGCCCTCCTGAAGCAAGGCTCTGCCTGCCCTGGTAACAGGATAATGCGTTCAAGCCGTTAGAATTAATCTGAGTATCAAAACTGAAATTTAGATTAGCAAACGACATCCTGATCGTTGCAGCAGGTAGAATAGCAAACGTCCTCTTTTTAAACTAGAGCAGAAACAGAAGAATCAGGGGTAATTTATTTGTGCTGACGAACACAGACGTGCAGCACCACTTAGCTCGCGAGCCTCCCTAGCTCCTGGTGCACCTGCCCTCCAGACTCGCGGGGCGTTTCCCTGGGCAGGACACTGACTCGTGGGCTTCCACGGTCACGCTTCCGCCGTGCGTGAAAGCCGCCTGCAACACCTGGATGCTTTCTGCGTGTGTACCATGTACAGCGTAGGTATTTCTTTCGGTTTAAAAAAATAGTGCAAAAACAAATCTGATAGTCAAAGTGAAAGTTCAAGTGAGTTCTTGCGCCAAGGAACACAGTCAAGCTTCACCTTTAGTTGCCTTGTAAAACCTGAACATAATTTTTGGGAAATATTCCCGACTTTCCCATCAGTTCTCCGCTCATCCAGTCATTATCTACAGATTCCAGCTCTGTGATTACATCTCCAACCTGCGAGAAAGGGAATTGGAAACAGTCAGGACAAGCACGGTGAGCAGACCACCCCAGGTGGGTGTCAGCTTTGCTTTATATAACTCTTTTATCTTGATTTGCTCAGAGGGACAATCTATATCTAACAATTGTATTTGCTCGTGGGCTTCTTTTTCAGAAAGTCTATTCCTTTACCATTGTCAGCCTTACTGTGTTTTTATTTTCCTGCTTGTCTCTCGTGCCTCCAAAACTCACCATTCCTAATCTGAAATTCTTCCCGAATAACATCACCATCACCCCCCCCCCACACCCCACACACATACATACAGACACACGCACATATTTTTTAATACAAATTATTTGTTAAGTGCCACTGTGGATCCAACACTTTTCTGGGCACTATAGGTACAGCCACGAGTGAGAGCTCATTCTAGAGCAGGAAGACAAATAAATAAGCACAGAGGAGAACAGAAAGTAGAAGAATGGGGTTGCCACCTCCTAAGGGCAGTTAGGAAAGGCCCCACTTACAGGGCATTTAACAGAGAGCTGGAAGGGAAAGAGTGGGTGTTTATTGGATCCTTGGTTCCAGAGGAACTAATGCTTATAAACACCATGGCCCTAGAGGTAAGTATTACTGATAACTATTTTAGAAAAAGACTTTTTAGTAGATTTCTTTTGGAAACTAAAGCTCAGAGATTTTAAGGAACTTGTGCATGGCGAAGAGACATGCACAAATTCCTTAAAATCTCTGAGCTTTAGATTTAGGATTTAAGTCAAGAATGATTCAGCCCTAGGTTGCTAACCACTAGGCTTTGCGGATCTTCTGTACTCTACATCCATTTTTCCAAAAAACAGTTTTCTCTTCTACCATTTGGTTTATTCCATTATTCCACGGCCTCAAAATAAACTTTGTATTCCTTTTGTATTAAAGAGCTTCACCTGACTCAGAACACTGACAGAGCCACTCAGGTAAGTTGAAGGCTGTGTATTACTCATGTGTGAGTTGTGATTCTTCACCAAATAAAGACATAATTTCTGAAGTTATCTCCTGAGTGTATTTTGTTCTTCATGGTTTTTTTTTTTTTAAAGATTTATTTATTTACTCATATATTTATTTATTTACTCATCTCTGGGGTACAGACCAGAGATGCGGAGAGTGAGAGGATTCACCAGAGACAGAGTGGGGAGCAGAACAGGCAGATCGACGAAGTACACTGCTGAGGGGAGCAGCGGGCGGGTCAGGAGAGGTCTGCCTCGCCATGTGGATCACCTCCGGGGCAGGCGGGAATTGAACTCACGCGGAAGTGGCGTAAGCTTCATAGTGCAGTGATTTAACCTGCTGCGCCACCAGGAAGGGCCCTGTTCTTCATGGTTTTGTAACCATTTCTTGGAATGAGAATTTTAATTTCCACAATGGTCCAAGGTCATTACTTTGACTACTTTTAGACATCTTTATCAGCCAAATGAATTTCTTTGTGGCCCTAACACATTGCCTCTGGTAAACAAGACTTGGTTAAAAACTCTTCTTTGTGGAAAAGAGAAAGAAAAGGCTAACTATCAGCCTTAATGTCATTAATTTACTCTGCCAAAATCTCTAAAAACTCTGGCTACTCAAATTTTCTATTATAAATAAGTTCCCTGAGGTTTCTAAATTATAATATACTGTTTAAGTAAAACTATTTTCTTAGCTTGGTTCATCTGTACATCACAAGTTCATTTTCTCAAATAAAAAATGTTTTATTTACTATTATTCTGTGACTATTTAATAAAAGATTCATTATCAACAGTACTGAAAGAAGGAGAGAACTTATTAACTAGAAAACTCTAGGAATCTCTTTGTAGCCAGTTATTTATAAAATGGAACTAACCTATTTTTGGAGGACACTGTGAATTCTGTTATTTCTATTGACCTAACTTAAATGAAGGTAGAAATTATATCCTAAAAGTTTGAATCCAGAGTTTTCACTTGCAGTAATACTTTATGACAAGATAAAAAGTGAATTCTGAACTACTAAACTCTCAAAACTGAAAAGCATTTGTCAGATTTTAAGGATCAAACAGATTTAATTTTAACTTTTCAAAAATTTTACTTAAATAAAAATTTGATACAGGCAACGTGGTAACATGTATCTGAGGAGGTTGAGCCTATCCCCCCAGGTCATACACAATGCTATAAACCAATGTTATCTCACTAAAGAGAGAAGAAAAAGAACACACACACAAAAAAAAAATTTAGACCCTGACAAATATGATCAAATTATAATTTTGCCTAACACTAGAATTTTTTCAGAGACATGATGTTTTAGCATGAAAAAGGGAGCGGAAATGCTCAGATGGTAAACTACATCACAGAACAGAAAGTCAGCGAGCCTCTCCTGACATATTGCTATGACTCTCCACAAGCCTGACATACTCCATCACCTTGTTTTCATTTGCTCTATCTACACAGGTGAAAACACTGTTTGGGCAGTCACTGTTTTAGTCTCATCTTGCCCTACCATGTGTTGATGCTTCTTCAGTGCTTCCTATGGCTTCCCTCCTATGGCTGGACCTTTCCACAAGGTTCTGATGGAGAGTTCACCTCCATCAGACACTAGCTCTTCTGAGAGCAATGACCGAGAAACCCACCCTCCTTGGCCAGGTGCTACCCTGAGGTATTTCCTTTAGCATGATCAAACGATGGCCTGAGAAAACAGGGTCATGGACATACTCTGCTTTCACTTGAAAAATAAAACTAAGAGGCACTTCTCAGTATAGTAAGATTAATAATAAACGGTAGGCCTCTAACAATCCCTTTGCAAAGCAGCTGAATCTTTTGGAACCATTTCCAGAAGATCTAGTCAGTGTTGCTGGGGACAAGAGCCAGTGTCACGAGTGCTGCAGTGGCAGTGTGGCCACTAGTAGGGACCTTCTCATTTTCCCACTCATGTAACGACATGATACTTGCGGGCTGCCCGCGACCAGCGAAGTTGCACTATTGCTGAGATCTGATGCTAACAGGCCCAGGGATAAGGAATTAGTTCAGAAATCGTGGGGCTATCAAGCCAATGAGGTTTAAGGACCTAAACACCTTATAATTTATGTTTACCTTATTCACTTTGTTGCCTTCTTTTGGAATTAGGGCCTGAGATCTGTTTATTCTTAGCTAATGATCTATGTTCCACCCAAATGTTCTACCTTCCAGAAAAGACATTTCAAACATTGCAGTTACAAAGAGCTACACGTGCTGACCTTGAAGGAAAGCTCATCTTCATTCTCTCCACGGAAATCATATAGGGCTTTGGCTTTCCTCCCTTTCAGTGATAAAGCAGGCATACTTTTTGCCTCAGCTGTAAAGACAACAGAAATTCAAATATATTAGAAAAAAAACATTGGACTAAACCCAAGTCAAACATTGTAAGAACTCCCCTGTCATTCCCGAGAGAATATTTTTCAATTATATAACATGCAAAATGATGGATAGTCTCCTAGCAGAAAAAAAAAAAAAAACCTACAAAATAATGGACAAAATTAGTCACTGTTAAGTGATAGTATTTTAATCTTCTCCCCCCATAACTACAACAAAATACATGAAAGAAGCTTTGCACAACTACATCAACCAACTCTTTCATATGTCATAGGTAACAACTTAAAGTGGCCTGGCCAGAGGGAAGAGGAATAATTAAGAAGTCCTCACACAATACTACTAGGTTCTCGGCCACAGCAAGTTGTGAAATGATGTACAGCAACAAAAAATTGGGGCATAAAGAAAATTTCTTATGGCCTATTTCTTGTCACCAACCAGGGCTTCCCTGGTGGTACAGGAGTTAGTCTCAGTGCTATCAAGCCATATGCACCACTGCAACATGAGTTCGATTCCCACACAGGGAGCTGACCCACATGGTGCAGCAGGCCTCTCCTGATTCGCCCACTGCTCCCCTCAGCAGTGTACTTTCTTTCTTTCTTTTCTTTTTTTAAGATTTTATTTATTTATATATACAGAAATGGGGTACAGGTCAGAGGTGCTGGGGTGGGGAGAGGATTCACCAGAGTGGGGAGCAGAACAGGCAGATCGACAAAGTATACTTCAGCAGCGTATTTCAATCTGCCTGTCCTGGTCCCCAACCTGTCTCTAGTGAATCCTCTCACCACCCTCCAGCTCCCGCATTTCTGGCGTACCCTCCAGTTCTTGTATGCATAAATAAAAATAAATCTTTTTAAAAAAATCATGCAACTTCTAAATAAAGACCCAACACCTCCAAGTAACCAACAATTGCGGATTGTTCATTCATTCATCCTCTAGCCTGCTTATTCCAGTTCAAGTTTTGGGTGGTTGAAGCCCTTCTCAGCAGCACAGCATGCAAGGTGGGACCCCACCGGGACAGGACGCCCTTCCATCTGACTGGGACCGCCCAGGCATGCCAATGAGACCTCATGTGCACTGCTTTGGGGTATGGGTAGAAACTGGAATACCAGGAGAAAATCCACACAGATAGTGGCCCTGTTGGAACTGACTTTTCCTTAGAGGGTCTGTTAGGTATCAAAGGTGTGGTACTGCCCTTGGAGAAGAGGAGTCATTCATTTCATGTAGCTGACATACCTGGGCAGAGTCGCACAAAGACTGCCGGGAAGATGCCCACCCTGTCGCGCAGTTTACCCTTGTACCAGTCGCAGTCCAGACGCTCGAGGATGAGGATCCGGTCACCTCTCTTGAAGGATAAGTCATCACTGGTCTCTGCCGTAAAACTGTGAAGAGCTTCACACCATTCTCTGGACAGACAGCTAGCCTGGTCCAAAACAGAGGTTTGGTAAGAAATATGAGATTTTATTTGAAAGTAATTTCTATAAAGCTATACCGTGGTAGGAAGAGTGTATTAAGGAGTCATATGATTTCAAAGCCTGAGGCCTCTTTAAATTACCTAACACTTTCTTGCTATCAACTTTCAGAAATAAAAAGTCCCGATACCAGGCCCTCCGTGGTGGTACAGTGGGTTAAAGCATAGCACTAAGAAGCTAATGCCACTTCAGCAGAGTTTGATCCCCACCCCAAGGGGACCCCCAGGACCCAGCAGATCCCTCCTGTCTCCCCACTGCTCCCCTCAGCAGTGGGCTTCGTCCATCTGCCTGTCCTGCTCCCCACTCTGTCTGGTGAATCCTCTCACCGTCCCTGCACCTCCGGCCTGTACCCCAGTTCTGTATGCACAAAATGCACAAATAAATAAATCTTAAAAAAAAAAAAAAAAAAAGGTTCCTGATACCTTTTTCCTTAACCTAGAACTCTAACTTGATGTGATCATATTTGTGGCTTTTCTGCTTTGAACGGGTAACAATGCTTCAGCAAAATCTTTTTCAAGACTTGGAGACACACAGGCCTGGGTTTTAGCTCCAGCCCTGCCACTTCCAAGCTGGGGGACACTGGGCCACTTCTTCTATGGGTCTCAGCTTCACAATGTTCTGCACAACACTTGTAGAAATCCAGTGCCTCGCGCATCTTAAGTTGTCAACAACTGGTGGCTCAAAAAATCAAAAACAAAACACCCAGCAAACAAAAGGCCCTAATCTCAGTCCGCTTGCACCTCTGCTTGAATCACCACTCCTAAAGAATGGTATTCCTCACGCCCGAGTAGTACAGGCAACCATGGAAACATTTCCTTTTGGAGAACCGAAGTCACTGTCTTTCAGTGGGCGGGGAGGAGAGATAAGAGACCACTTTTCTAAAACCTGCCACACAAACAAGGCAGCCACCCATATTCCATTCAGCCGAAATGCTTCTGAAATCATGATACACGTGTCACATTTTTAATTCAGTTTTATCTCTTACCCATTATAAAAACAGTACAAGTGTTCCTATATATTTGGCAAGTTCGGAAATGAAGGAGTAAGAAAAAACTCCACCCCTTTACAACCGCATCACTTTGAGGCAACTGGATGATAACTTAAATACACAGCCTTCTAGTCTTTTGACACTATATATTCAATTTCCTATAACACTTATTTTAAAAATCTAGTTTTTCATGACCTCAGAACATTCTCATGATAATGGTCACATTTGAGTTGTTTCTACTTTTGTCCTATTATAACAACAGCACTGTTGACTATCTTTATGACTAAATATATTCTCATTTTTTCCCTTTTCTTAAGGTGAGAAATGATGATGATGATGATATCTACACTTTCTCTTTTAAACACCTGTCTCCTTTACTATGCAGTCATGCGTCTTTCCTCATTTTCTATCAGGGTTTGCCTATTTCCCCATTTGCATGAGCTGTATATACTACACAAAGATGTTGGCCATCTAATTATATTTATTTTTAACTTCTGCAATATGAATAGAAAAATGATTTCCTACCATTTCTCTCCATAATTAAGAGTTTAATACTCTTTCCAGAGTTAAAACTAGGCTTTCACTGTAGTTATTTATGAAAGTAGCCTACCTGAGAATTTGTGCCAGAATCTTCCTTTTTGGTCTTCAGGGCTACCTGTGTGCCTACATTAGGGGAAAAAAAGTCAAGACATCAGGTACAAAAACTACATAGAACTGGAGAAAACCACAGAAGGAAAGTGAAAAAGTGTGAGATTCTAGACTTGTCTCCTCAAATACTAGGAGCTATGAACTTTGCACACTACCGTCTCTGGTCTTGTTTCCTCTACTGCAAATAAGCTGAGGCATTAGTTATAGCCTTAAAGTGCTTAGAAGTCTGGTGTCTGCCTGCCACTTCTGATATGAAGCAATTGCTAATTACTCCAACACCACTATCAGCTCTTTGAGAAATTATCACAATAACAACTACCCCACCAATATTACCATTTTAAAGTCATTTTTCTTAGCGTTGATAATGTTGATTACTATGTAGCTTAAATATTATCCTAGTGTTCTGTTTATTTGAATCAGTACAAGATATAAAAAAAAAAAAAAGAAAGAAAAATTCTCTATACTCACTTAAAACATCTACATCAGAGGTGGGTGGTTCTTCAACAAGTTCCACAAAGTTAAGGGGGAAAATCCCAGTCCTGTCTCGAAGTTCTCCTCTGGCCCATTCTTCATTCACATACTCCTTGAGAATAATAATTTCACCCTCTGAAAAACTTAACTCATCTTTCTGGTCTCCAATGTATTCAAATCGAGCAATACATCTTGAGCCTCTGAACAAAGAAAGTGACATTTGTGGGTTAAACTGGACAGTACCGAAAAAGCATAAAGTCCACAGTCGATGTTCTAATCAATAAATTTTATATGTTAGGGAAATGCCTTCAAAACCGATCCATTTGAAGAAAACAAAAAGTTGGTCTATCATCTTACAAGTGATTTTATAAATACCCCTGTTATTTTAAAAATGATTTTTGTATCTCCCTTAAAAAGGCTTCACTGATGAGTGCCAGAACAGTCCTTAAATGATCTGCAATTTTTACTGAAAATAAGATAAAAGTAGAGATAAAACTGTGCCTTTAGAAGTCATGATTTAATACCAGACCTTTGATTTGAGGCCTTAGGCCTTATGGAAAGGAAGTTTCAATAGCAGTAGGCTAAGAAGAAGCAATTACTTGTAGAGAAAAGGCTGGTACTGGTTCCCATCAAATTCTGATTTAAGTCAGCTCAATGGATCAGCAGCTATGAAAGCCCACTTTAAATCCAACCTGCTGAACAGTAAACACTCCTTAAACATAGAAAACTTGAACCTGAGATAGAATTCGACCACTGTGGCTTCGTAAGTTTTGTTATTTGTGAATAACCTTTGCATTTATTTTCTAACATCCTCAGGGAGCATCATCTCCTTATGTCTGACCTATTCAAAGACAGGTTTACAGTCTTCAGCAGGTAGTGAATTCTATTAATTTGCTCATTTAACTAGAATATAAAGTTGCATTGTGGCAGTGTTTTAAATCACAAAGGAGTTACAATGATCCATAAAAGTGTATATAAATTCATGGAAAGGTCTTCAGATATTAAAGGAAGGTCTCCCCGACTTAATTCTTCCTTACTTTCTTCTAGACCCTCTTAAAAAAACAAAACAAAACAACACATCTAACAGTTTTTATAGCATTCATTTTCCTACAAGAGTCAACTATTTTTTTTTATTAAAAAGTTTATTTTTACATCATTTTGCACATTTTTTTTTCATCTCAATTGTAATCCCCACGGGTTTCCCATCACCAAATCACCCCTGTGCCACCACCATAGTCCCGTGCATTT